AGTAGCCATCTGAACCTATGTGTAGTTCCCAGAATACCACACTCTTTTATTCCATGGCTGTTTAATGTCCTCCTGCTTCTTGACTGCCTTGCCTGAAGCTCTTCTTCAGATGTAAATGTCTCTGGTCTTTTTTCTCACATACTTGTGTATCAGTTGAAATCCATGGCACTACAGGTAAATTGAATTCTGGCTCAAAGTGCATAAACGTATTGGGAAATACACATATTTTCACAATCGGAGAAAATGCACAGGTGGACGACATCAGGATTGTTTGATGACAGTCAACTTTTCCTAGAAACCCAAGCTTCCTTGAGGTCTCAGTTCTGCCTCTGGTTGGCCTCCCTTGCATGGCTATAGCACAGTTTCTGCAGTTTCATGCATCACATCCAAGACACGCAGTGTTCAAAAGCAGAAAGAGCCTTTTTCCTGGCAATTTATTTTTTCTTGGGATTAGGAAACCTTCTTTCAATTCTGGTGGTTCAGGCCTCCCCTTGCATATTATTGGCTTAGATGTGATTTCCCTTCACCTATGGCTTAGACTGATTATAAGGAAAGAACCAATAGAATCTACCCCTTGAGCTGGAGGATAGGGGCAATGTCTTCTGAGTTTCAATGCGGAGTAGGGTTGTTACACCTGAAGTAGAATCGGAGGTAGAAAAGAAGAAAGAGGGCGAGATATGTGGAAACAACCAAAAGTAACCAACTGCCCATGGCTCCCGTGTCGCATAGACTTGTGTGTTTACAACTCTATCCCAAAGATCAAGCTGTGAACACTTTCTTCACGTAACTATGCCAGAGAAGCTTAAAAAGCTCACTTGCGCCAGTTAAAATAAGAATCTCAGGTGATCAACCTAGGACATCAGCATTAAAAAAAAGTCAGTTCCTAGGAATTCTGACATATAGCCAAGATGCTAGAAAACTGCTGCTCTATTCTTTTTACACCTGTCATCTTTACTGGAAATTGTTTTGTACGCCCATCTTTCCAGAGCAGATGTTACACTTTTTACGGATTGTGGGCCAGTGTTTCTTTACCTTTGTTTCCTCTGATGCCTTAGGCACAATTGTCTTTCTAAACTTAGTAAAGTAATTTGCGTGGAGTTGATATGAATACATGAGTGCCAATATGCAAGTTAATGAGATTTCTCCCACTTGCCAAGGAATTGGATGCTGGTACGATATAAATATGATTTTCCCTCAGCTAAGAAATATAAAAGACGGGAAGACGCTTGGAAAATGGGGTGCTGACATAAGAAACCAAGGCTTGATAATGGAAGGTACCTGAGTATATAGGTTATATAATGGAGTGGGAGTTTGCAACCTGGAATGGTTATGTTTGGGGTTAGATTTCTGAAGGGTCATAATGTCTACCAAAGAGATGCGGAATGCTAGCATAGGCAATGAAAATTCAATTGAAAAGTTTTTATTTTTAAACCAAAGACTTGACATCTGTAATCTTTTGATTTTTTCAGTTATAATGAGTCTGTTGTATGTGTATTTGGAAGGGAAAGATGGGTTTAAAACCAGACTAAGAAATGAAGAGTTTCTATAAAAATAAACATTTTTTGACCTGGCTACCAATTATGAAATGGCATTTTCATTGAGGTCACCAAATTTCTTATGTACTTCTGGGTATTAGTTCCATTTAAAAAGATGGATGGAAAACCAGATTCTTAAATAACTTGCAACAATGGCACACTGCCATTATGTTTAAAGAAAAGAACCAAAAAAATCTGGAAATTCAGTTACTTCAATTCCCAAAGCATTCCTGTTAACCAGGTTGTACTGTTTTCCTAAATGGGGCCATAAAATGGGGTGATGGAAGGGCAAACAGAATTATTATCAAGAAAGACCTTTAGAGTAAGAATCAGCAGAATTTAATGACAGTTGCAAATGATGAAGAAAAGCAAGGGTATGAGACTTGACTGAATGTAAAAAACAGGATATCCAGCTCGAAGTATGCTGAATCAGAAGGACTCATAAGATATCCAGAAGAATGCTTTGTTTTTTTTTTTTTTTTTTTTTTCTTTTATTATTCATATGTGCATACAAGGCTTGGTTCATTTCTCCCCCTCCCCCACCCCCTCCCTTACCACCCACTCCCCCCCTCCCTCCCCCCCCTCAATACCCAGCAGAAACTATTTTGCCCTTATTCTAATTTTGTTGTAGAGAGAGTATAAGCAATAATAGGAAGGAACAAGGGTTTTGCTGGTTGAGATAAGGATAGCTATACAGGGCATTGACTCACATTGATTTCCTGTGCGTGGGTGTTACCTTCTAGGTTAATTCTTTTTGATCTAACCTTTTCTCTAGTTCCTGGTCCCCTTTTCCTATTGGCCTCAGTTGCTTTAAGGTATCTGCTTTAGTTTCTCTGCATTAAGGGCAACAAATGCTAGCTAGTTTTTTAGGTGTCTTACCTATCCTCACCCCTCCCTTGTGTGCTCTCGCTTTTATCATGTGCTCAAGTCCAATCCCTTGTTGTGTTTGCCCTTGATCTAATGTCCACATATGAGGGAGAACATACGATTTTTGGTCTTTTGGCCAGGCTAACCTCACTCAGAATGATGTTCTCCAATTCCATCCATTTACCAGCGAATGATAACATTTCGTTCTTCTTCATGGCTGCATAAAATTCCATTGTGTATAGATACCACATTTTCTTAATCCATTCGTCAGTGCTGGGGCATCTTGGCTGTTTCCATAACTTGGCTATTGTGAATAGTGCCGCAATAAACATGGGTGTGCAGGTGCCTCTGGAGTAAGTACAGTCTTTTGGGTATATCCCCAAGAGTGGTATTGCTGGATCAAATGGTAGATCGATGTCCAGCTTTTTAAGTAGCCTCCAAATTTTTTTCCAGAGTGGTTGTACTAGTCTACATTCCCACCAACAGTGTAAGAGGGTTCCTTTTTCCCCGCATCCTCGCCAACACCTGTTGTTGGTGGTGTTGCTGATGATGGCTATTCTAACAGGGGTGAGGTGGAATCTTAGCGTGGTTTTAATTTGCATTTCCTTTATTGCTAGAGATGGTGAGCATTTTTTCATGTTTTTCTGGCCATTTGAATTTCTTCTTTTGAGAAAGTTCTGTTTAGTTCACTTGCCCATTTCTTTATTGGTTCATTAGTTTTGGGAGAATTTAGTTTTTTAAGTTCCCTATATTCTGGTTATCAGTCCTTTGTCTGATGTATATTGGCAAATATTTTCTCCCACTCTGTGGGTGTTCTCTTCAGTTTAGAGACCATTTCTTTTGATGAACAGAAGCTTTTTAGTTTTATGAGGTCCCATTTATCTATGCTATCTCTTAGTTGCTGTGCTGCTGGGGTTTCATTGAGAAAGTTCTTACCTATACCTACTAACTCCAGAGTATTTCCTACTCTTTCTTGTATCAACTTAAGAGTTTGGGGTCTGATATTAAGATCCTTGATCCATTTTGAGTTAATCTTGGTATAGGGTGATATACATGGATCTAGTTTCAGTTTTTTGCAGACTGCTAACCAGTTTTCCCAGCAGTTTTTGTTGAAGAGGCTGCTATTTCTCCATCGTATATTTTTAGCTCCTTTGTCAAAGATAAGTTGTTATAGTTGTGTGGCTTCATATCTGGTCCTCTATTCTGTTCCACTGGTCTTCATGTCTGTTTTTGTGCCAGTACCATGCTGTTTTTATTGTTATTGCTTTGTAATATAGTTTGAAGTCAGGTATTGTGATACCTCCTGCATTGTTCTTTTGACTGAGTATTGCCTTGGCTATTCGTGGCCTCTTGTGTTTCCATATAAATTTACAGTAGATTTTTCAATCTCTTTAATGAATGTCATTGGAATTTTGATGGGAATTGCATTAAACATGTAGATTACTTTGGGAGTATCGACATTTTTACTATGTTGATTCTACCAATCCATGAGCATGGGAGATCTCTCCACTTTCTATAGTCTTCCTCAATCTCTTTCTTCAGAAGTGTATAGTTTTCCTTGTAGAGGTCTTTCACATCTTTTGTTAGGTTTACACCTAGGTATTTGATTTTTTTTGAGGCTATTGTAAATGGAATTGTTTTCATACATTCTTTTTCCGTTTGCTCATTGTTAGTGTATAGAAATGCTAATGATTTTTCTATGTTGATTTTATATCCTGCTACCTTGCTATAGCTATTGATGATGTCTAGAAGCTTCTGAGTAGAGTTTTTTGGGTCTTTAAGGTATAGGATCATGTCGTCTGCAAATAGGGATATTTTGACAGTTTCTTTACCTATTTGTATTCCTTTTATTCCTTCTTCTTGCCTAATTGCTCTGGCTAGGAATTCCAGTACTATGTTGAATAGGAGTGGAGATAGTGGGCATCCTTGTCTGGTTCCTGATTTTAGAGGGAATGGTTTTAATTTTTCTCCGTTAAGTATAATGCTGGCTGTAGGTTTGTCATATATAGCTTTTATAATGTTGAGGAACTTTCCTTCTATTCCTAGTTTTCTTAGA